TTGGAAGGCAAGGATTCCTAACACCTAGTTAGTCCACTACTTTCCCTCCCTTCCCCTAACCACACTGCTAGATTTTATTTGATGGAGAAAAAGGAAGCATAAGCTATGTTAATAGCAGTAAACATTAGCTCTAATTTAACTTTACAGAGTATTACAATCACATGCACATCTGCTTGTGCATGTACTCAGAAAGCACAGCCATCAATTTAAAAGGATGCCTTTAAAAGGTAAGCACTCAAACTGAAGGACATGCCACAGACTTTTTATAGGACTCACCCTCTCCAACAGGCAACTGAATCTGTGTAGGTAAAACTGAGTATTCCTACCACTGGAAATGATATTCTAGCTACCTGATATTGGCTGGAGGAATACCAGAGGGAGGAAAAAGTCAAACAGGTGTTCAATAGGAAGGTGACTCTCTTCTTTAAAGAGACTGGAAAGCAATGATTAATGTATTTTAACTACCAAGGGATAAATCTATGCTTGGACTGTGGATGAGCCTATGAGATACTGCTTCCTTTTATGCATTTCCTGGTACCCAGTTACATCAAGTAACTTCTGATCTCCAACCCATTTATTACTATCACGGCTCAGTGCTGCTTAGCGATTCCCTTCATGAGAAGATCTGCATGTTCTAAGTGTGGTTTGTATGTGCCTGCCTTTCTCTGTCTCTCTCTCTCTCTGCCTTCCCCCTCCCCCAACCCTTTTTTCCCTCCAGCCCCAAAAAGTAATAGAACATTGTTGTCTATTGATGTTCTAGAAATGTAAGTCAAAGCTACCTTGTTGAATGACTGTTTTTTGCAAACCTGTCTGTGTGACTTGTGCGTTCACAATAACAGGGACTAGAGTAACGTGTAGTAACAGAAAAAAAATCACAGGCTGCTAAAACATTCAGGATACTCAGGAAAGGATCTGATTGCTTGTCATTCTGTACCTTTTTTGTTACATGTAAACTGAGATCTTATCTAAGGAAGACAGCTGTTGTTTAGTCATTGATACTGCAAACATGTTTGCTATGTATTGAACTCACTAGTATAGAAACTAATGTATGTAAGTTCTATTTTTATATTCTTCTTCTAATGAACTAGTTGGAATTTTAGGATTGTTTACCTTGATTTATTCATTATTAATCTATTCGACCTTGAAATTGCACTAAGTCTTTTGAAACACTTTGTATATTTATGAATATATTGATGTATGTATATATACATACATATATACATACACACATCCATATTTATGTTCCCACCCCAAAAGTTGCAGTTGTCAGATATAAACTGAATAATTTAAAGGAATCCAAGAAGGTTTGCTATTTGGATGAATGCTGCTGGGAATATTTTTGTAATGTGAAGAATAACCTATTTGCTTTCACCTACCTTTTAATGCATTGTATCTCTACCCTGTTTTGTTAGTTTAGATTTGGATATTTCAGGTTTTATTCTTTTAATAAACATTCACTAAATGCAAACAATTTGTAATTCAAAATTATTTGTATGTGTCTGTATTTTATCATAACTGGGCCCAATTCAATAATTCAATATACATTTATTAAGCCAGTATTATAAGTAGTGTGTATAAATGGAAAAAAAAAAGTCCTCAGTATGTTGGCAGACTCCACATGGAGAAGTCAAAAGATGATGTGGCCAAGTGCAGTAGAGAAAGAAGAGTAGATGGGTTAGATGGACACTGTTGGAGAGGATATCCACATTGATGAAATCATAGATCCATTGAATTTTCAAAGTAAGTGTAAGACATTGTGCAGGGGTGGGGAACCTGTGGCCTCAAGGCCACATGTGGCCCTCTAGGTCCTCAAGTGCAACCCTTTGACTGAATCCAAACCTCACAGAATGAATTTCCTTAATAAAAGGATTTGTTTGATAAAACTTGGACTCAGTCAAAAGGCCACATCCAAAGACCCAGAAGGCCACATGTGCCCTCGAGGCCACAGGTTCCCTACCCCTGTACTAGGGCATCAGAGGAAAAAGAATCAAACAAATTTGACCTCTTCTAAATTTAAGGGGCTTATGTTGTACTGAATTCCTATAGAATCTGATATAGTTGAAGCTATGGACCAGGAAAATGCTTCTGGATAAGGAATATAATCTTGGATTTGGGGCATTACAGCCCAAGATGACACTTGGGATGTCATAATAGAATTTTGGCAGGACTCTGTGCTCTGTTGAAAGCAGTATGATTAATGGGATCCTTCCTCAATTATATGTGTATCATACTGGTATACCTCCTCATTTCTTCTGAATATAGACAGAATCTGCCTTGTGTATGATACAAGATGCAAATGCAGATTATGTGAACATAATCTCGTAATGAGACAGGAATTAATTGACAGAAAGCTGAACAATGGTGTGACAGGTATATTTAAGGGGCAGGAATGTGAAAGAGAAAAAGTGAGCGAATATGATGATAACAGAGAATTGGAGAGAGTGGGAATTAATTAAGACCAGAAGTAAGAAGACCAATACCCTGTGAACATTGTTCTAAGTTGGATTCACTCACTAATTTGATATTTAATAAGCGCTTCTCTTGTGCATAGTGCTAGGCTAGACATTATAGGGTATACAAAGATGGAGTGGGAAAGAGCATTTACCTAACACTATGTCCCAGCCATTGTGCTAAGCACTTTACAAATATTTCATTTATACCTCACAACAACCCTACAAGGCAAGTATGGCATAGGTCCTATATTCTTACAGTTTGTAATTCTGTAGATGCTTACGGGGAAGACACAAAATAGTTCAAATGAGTCTCAGAGTGGGATGAAGGAGGAACAAGCAGTCTGGACTCTTAGAGGGTTAGTAGGAGAGTAGCTGTGGCAAGAACCTTGAGGTTTTCCCTGAAGAAACAGACAGTAAAGATTTTGTTTTTCTCAAATACTGGGTAGTAGGAGATAAGCCAGGAGTTAAAAGTGAGATGATGTTAAATGGAGGAACTAAACTAAAGTGGTAAGCTGTTCAGAATTATACTCAGCAACTTCTGTATGCCTGCATCTTGATTATCTCTTAGAGTAATCACACAGAAGCTACTCACATCATAGTTGTTGCTCTCTCCCTACAAGCTGATTGGATAAGATTCAGATGACAATAGAATGTAAGCTGCATGAAGGCAAGAGCTGTTTTTGTCTTTCTTTGCATCCTCACAATTAGCATAATGCCTGTCACATAGTAAGGGTCTAATAAATGATTGATTGAATGACTATATTACAGATATACAGTGGGTCCCTGAAAAGGAATCAGAGGAAAAACATCTTTTCTCTCTCCAGCAGTCAGAAAAAGTTACCATTCATGAAAAATGAACTTTATTTGTGGTCCACCATAGGCTAACACACAACATTTAAGATATGTAGTTTTTCCTTAATACTCCATACATATTTAGATTTCCCTATTCAAGAGAAAAGGCTTTATGAAAACAATTATAGTATTCTGGAATCATGGTTTCCAATCTATTTATTCACATTTAAACCAGCCTACTTATTTTGCCATTCAAATTTCCAGGAAAGAAAACAGAATGAGACTTACTTATTAGAAGATTATTCAGTGTTTTAACCAAATACGCAATCCATTTTCCCCTTATTTTCTTAGTAAGTGACAATGTATTTGCTTGCAGTGTGTTGTAGAAAATACTATATGATATAATACCCTCAGAATATCTTTTGGGGTATAATGAACAGTATTTGAGGGGTTTGAAGGATTAATTTTTCTTTCAAAATGTCTAGCCCAGGCATCAACATTCCAGAGAGAATTCTGTGTCAATTAATAATAATTAAAAAATTGGACAACACACACCACAACTTCACTGGCTAGAGAAAGATATGTAAGCTTGACACTGCGTGTGTACTTCCTTTGGGCAAGATTCAAAAGTAATTTTGTGCTATTTAACCTAATGAAACAGTATGACTCATTAATATGATTTCGATAACATGAAGCAGCAGGGCAAAATGGAATGGTTGGTGGGCTAAGAACTCTGTATTCAAAATCAGCTTCCAATACTAGCCTTGTGAGCATGGATAGATCACTAGAGTTCTCAGAGCCTCAGTTTCTCTATCCTTAAAATAGGGATAACAATACTTCTTTACCTTACAGGTATTGTGAGGTAGGCGCTTTGTAAATGGGAACCATTGTTATTAGTACAGCTGAAGTGTAATACTTGTAAAATGGTACTGTAGAGTTGCTATAAGACTAAAGGGGTAAGGTTATTCAAGCAGCTGCCTTAGGAAAGCAAGTGTAGTATAATGGATAGCGTGCTGAACTTGGCGTCAGGAAAATCTGGGTTCACATTTCCCTTCAAACACTCAACAGCTCTGTGACTCAAGGTACATACTCAACCTATAGGGATTAACAGCATCTACCTCAGAGCAGTTGTGAGGACCAAATGAGACGATGTATAGGTAAAGTGCTTTGCAACCTTAGAGTGTTATAGGATGGTGTTTAATCGTTTTTTGTCATGTTTGACTCTTTATTTATTTATTTATATATTTACTTATTTGGGGTTTTCTTGGCAAAGATACTGGATGGCTTTGCCATTTCATTCTCCTGCTCATTTTACCAATGAGGAAACTGAGGCAAACAGGGTTATGTGACTTGCTCATAGTCACACAGCTAGTAAGTGTCTGAGGCCAGGTCTGAACTCAGGAAAATGAGTCTGCTTGACTCCAGATTGTTATATAAATGTTAGCTATTATTATTCCAATCCATGAATAGAGATGTTGGTAGAAAATTGGTTTTATTTCTTCCAGTGGCAATCTATTTTCACTATTTGTAAGGCATCTTTCCTTTTCAGATGATGTGACCTATATCCTTTTTTGCCACAGGAGCATATGCAAAATGTTTTTTTCTTCTACTTTATATCAACTGGAATCACACCTAAAAGCTTCAATGATGGCCACATTAGAAAGAAAAAGGCCCCAAAGCATCCATTTAGCATCCATTTCATACAATGAATAAGTAAGACAAGAAGAAAATTCCAGCACTACTATTAGCACTTACTGCAAGGATGATCTGGAGAGAACTGTGTGCCACTTCTATGTACTGGTACTCGAGCAAACACCCTGAGACCGTGATATAGCGATGGTCCTCTGGGGCCCAGTCAGGGGCTGGTGTCACTGATGTCACAGTACATCCTGGGCCATTTTCCATCCACCAAGAACGGTGCATTGAGATATTAAAAGTCAGAATCAGATCTGTTTCCTGTAAGAAGACAATTTATAGGGGAGAGAATTATTTCTTGAGCATTAGTCTGCATACTCTGGGTTGATAACTGTTTTGTGTTTCCATTCCACTGTGAGAGGTGATCTCAGCCATCACACTGAAGAGGGAAGCATCCAAAGTAAAAGGCGATCAGCTCCACTTAAAGATTACGTGTCTATGGACTCCTCTTCTGAAGATTTGTCTGACAGACACGGTGCAATGAAAAATATCTTAAAGTGGCTCAGCAGGAAAAAAAATTCCCCATAGCTTACATTGCTTTCAGCAGTGGAGAGCATTAGTACTTAGGGACTCCTAAAGATTTCAAAGTGTGACCATTGAACCAGTTTTACCACTTTGGATCTGGCATAATTCCATTTTGTTATGGAGCTGCTGTGCATTTCCTGTCTCTCAGAAGTACTCACTTTGGGAAAAAATAAGAAAGATACTGATTTGGAATTAATTCCTCTTGGAAATTCAGGGTCATTTTATATTCAGTCATGACTAATGGTACAATTGATAATAGCTTTCCCAAATGAATTCACAAATAACGTGACTCAGATTCATCCTTGCAGCCTGTTTAATATCTTACACAATTACTGACCATAGCACAAGACTACTCATTCCCCAACATAGGAGTTGCTATTATTGTCTTTTCAAGAAAAAAAATGGAAGTATTCATCTGTCTTTATGAGGATGGAGGTTTCATCTTGATCAGTAAACATTTATTACTGGGTGAAGGCTAATGTACTGGATATTGTGGAGAGGTAGAAAAGGAGCAGATGGGATGATCACTACCTTTAAGGAGCTTATTGATACTCATAAATATGTAAACCTGAAAAGGCCTAGAGAAAAAAATAGAGAAGAACTAAACACATACAGGGAGAGAGAGAGAGAGAGAGAGAGAGAGAGAGAGAGAGAGAGAGAGACAGAGAGACAGAGAGACAGAGAGAGACAGAGACAGAGAGACAGAGAATCAGAGAGACAGAGAGGAGGGAGAATTAGAAGCTTAGAAGCTCTTTTTTTCATAGAAATATATGTGTGGATACTCTCTAATTTGGGAAATAGTAAGAATGCAAGGTTATCATCATTATTGTTGCTATTAAGAAATATGTCTAACAATTATATAGCAAAATCCATTTTTTCAACAAGTTTTCACAAATATTTTGACATTAAATGTTTACAGAAAACATGGTAGATAGGGTAGAAAACAAGAGCTTTGTTTTTATACAGAAGGAAACTAAAATACAGAGGAGGTAAAATCCTTGACTAAATCCACCCATAATAAGAGGCAAATGCAGTATAAGAAACTGGATCTCTTAACTCCCACCTCTGTCTCCTTTTTCACTAGATTATATAGAATGAATTGAATGACAGAACTGAAGTGGGAATGGCTTAGAAAGATATTGATACAGGGGAAGATTCTATATATCAAAAGCAGATAGCACCCATTTGCTATGCACATATTGGCTCCTCCAGAAATGTGAATTCATGAGGATAAATGACAACTTTTTAGGACAATAAATCCAGATGGAAAGTAGAATCATCCCAAAGTAAAGTGGCTACTGTGTTTGGAGAAAAATGTGAACATTGAAATTCCATCTTTGATTGTTTGAATGACAAGGCAGACTGCCATATTGAGGAGACCTGGGATCTAACACTGACTGCAAATCACTTAATCTCCCTGGGCCTAAGTTTCCTCATATGTAAAATAAAAGGGTTGGTCTAGAGGTCCCTATTCTCTGTGAAAACACATCAGACAGACTCAAGATTGATATAATGTCATAGGCTGTGCCATCTCCAGTTGTCCTGATTTATATCTGGCCTTTGGACCCAGATGGCTCTGGAGGAGAAAGTGGCTGGTGACTTAATCCTCCCTCATTTAAATCCAATTCACTTGCAAGTCATGGCAACATCTTCCTTATATCATGGTCCTCTTCAATAATGAAGGACAAACCACAGTATCATGTCACAGAGAGGGAGAAAAGCATGTCTTGCTTCTTGTAAATAAAAGCTGAAAGACACTTAAGAGACTAGTGTGTGCAAGTTTGAGGTGTAGCTTTTGTAGTTAATTTTTATGATCAGAATTCTTTTCAAATATAGGAAGAAAAAGCTGTAATTTCATCAGCATGCTTTTCATCAGTGTAGGCTAAACTGCTCAACTTTGACTTAGTTGGTCAATCCTATCCGGGTACCTGAGGCTTAGATAGATAAAGTGATTGTTGGGTTCATATGGCTAGTTTGTGTGTCAGAAGTGGGATTGAACAAGTCACCCTGTCTCTGTTAACTTTAAAATGAAAGTCAACAGTTGAGAAACAAATTTGAAATTGACACAATCTGAACTGACCTAGCATTTTCTACCACATAGTTTTTCTAGTGAAACTGTCTTCTGGGAGCCAAGATGTGAGAGCACTGGAGATGCAGAATAGAGACTTGCCTTTTGTATTATGTAGTTGTTTCCTGTAATGAGTTGGAGGATAGGGATTTCTCCAGGAAAGAGTCATTAGGGAATTTCCAAGAGATTAAATGGAATATCCTTGGGAAAAAAAAGGGACACTGGCTTGTTTGGATCTTGGAATTCCTAGTTTCCTTTGAGACTCAACTCAAGTACCATCTACTGTTGGAGGTATTACCCGTTGCCCCAGTTGCTAGTATATTCTCCTTAATGGTTATCTTATAGTGGATTTGTGTATACTCTGCAACTATACATGTACATGTGGTCTCCCCCACTGGAATATAAGCTCCTTGAGATCGGGGAATTGTTTCATTTTTTTTTTTTTATGTTTCCCTAGCACTTATCACATTGATTGGCATATAGTACAAAAGAACTAAATAAATACTTGTTAAAGGATTGATTGCAGAGTGTGAGGTGCAAAGCACCAGGCTTTGAGAATCAGAAAAGTGCATTCTAGCCTCTGCTCTGGCACTAGTAAATTGCCTAACATTGGAGCTCTCCGAACCTCTGTTTTCTCATTAAAAAAAAAAACAAGTGGCTGGACTAATACCAGATGACCTTTTGGCTCTAAAATTCTGTGATAATAAATAATTGTATTCAAGACAAAAAAAAAAGGCAATACAACATGTAAGCAAAAAAGAAGGGCTTTAAAAAAAAGAGCCTTGGAAGTATGAAGCAGAGTCTGAGTCCTTCTCTGCTATGAGTAAAGGTGAGTGGTGGGACAGCAAACTGCAGTCTTCAGTTGATCATGAGAGGCTAAGAGATCTGTTGAAAGGCCAAACTGTATTTTCATGTAAGGGTTGTCAAGTCTTTGTTTGCTAATGAGCCTAGTTCATGGAGATAAGGGGAAAGAACTGATGGGCACACCTACTCAGAATTGGCAGACTTCTCTGTCAAGTAGCTTTGGGTAGAATATTAATTTTCATTCAGGTGGTGCACTGGAAAGAGTGCTGGGCCTAGAATAAGGAAAACCTGAGTTCAAATATGACCTTAGACACCATGACCCTGGGCAAGTCATTTAACTTCTGTTTGCCTCAGTTTCATCAAATGTAAAATGGTGGATAATAAAAACAATTACCTCGAAGGGTTGTTGTGAGGATCAAATGAGATAATATTTGTAAGAATGCACTTGACACAATGCTTGGTATATAGTAGGCATTATACAAATACTTATTGCCTTCCCCTTCCCCTTCAGTCTTTATATTTGGGCAGGAGAAACTGGACATATTTTGTTAAGCTTGATTTTAATGTATGAAGATGGATACAAATGTGTTGTCAAGAAAGCATTTCTGCTCACATTTTATGTGTCCAAAGAAGTCTTCTATTAAATTTAGCAAAAATAGCAATAAATTAAAACCCATATTTCTGATCTTTTCCTCCTTTCAATAGTTGGCTGTTTTGTTTCACAAACCCTTGACATAGTTTGGTCTCTCTCCAAACTTTCTTTTCCTCATCACTAAATAAAGCATGTAGATGATAATTATTAAGAAGCTTAAAAAGCACCCAACCAGGAGCACTATTAAATCTCAATAATAAAAGAATTTCTTGAAAATCAAATAATTGAAATTCATGTTTTCAATGGGTTTAGAAACATTTAAAACATAAAGTGGGTCATAAGCAGCTCTATAGGAAGACTTTTAAATCTGATTATAATTATACACCCAAATCTGTATGGTGATATGTGGATAAACATCTTACACTCTAGACAGTCTTGTAGCTTTGCAAGTCTTCCAAAAGTTTATAGTCAAGGCCTCCATTACTAGCCATGGCATTTTTCAAAATGACTGGTTTTGATATTTTATATAAAAGCTGTTATTAGCACTAAAACACTACTTCAGGCAGGGGATGAGTACCTGGTGATCAAAACAATGAACCAAATGGTTCAGCAAATAAGAGGAACTTCTATAATAAAAATGTGAATAACAAGTAAATGGGAAAATGATATTAGCAAACATTTACTATTTTATGATGTAACTAAGTTTTACTGTATAATTTGTGCCAATTGAAGAAGAGACTAAACATATATATTCGGGTGGTGCACTGGAAACAAATGATACCAAAGAGGGTCAACTGCATAGAGTAGAGCATGGAGGATGAATCCTTGAATCAGGAGTTGAGAGTTGTCCTTACAGTTCTCAAATGCAATCTTGCCTTTTGGTTCAATGAGGATTAAAAGCCATCCTTGCAAAAGGCTATTATAAGGTCTCATTTATTAACTCTTTTGAGCAGTTAGACAACTTTGAGTATTAGGTATTATCAAAATGTGATGCAGATATTTTTATTTTTATCATTAGAGATTTGTCAGTAATTTGTTGTTTTACATTCAAAGAATTTCTTTCACAGAAAGCCTGATATATCTATATGAGAGAAATCTTTTAGATTGAATCTTTCAGTAAAAGAATCTTTTAGAAATGGGGAAAATAAAAGGAGTTGGTGAATTAATTGTTGTCAAGATGCCCCCAATTTTCAGGTAGTTTCTTGCTAGGGCACAATGAAACAACAATCCATGGTTATAGTTACATTGAGGGAACCAAAGTAGTGTGGCTAG